CTCTCACGGTGAGTTAATGCCGGATTAGATTCGGAGATTTCAAGGAAATTCCAAGTGGAACGAATCGTGTTTCCCTTCTGCACGCTGCCGAGCTGGGCCGGAGCAAGGCGCCAGGCTTTGGCGGGATCCAGTGGGGTGCCCGGCTCGGGTCCCCACGGTCGGCAAGTCAGGGAGTTGCTCCCGGACTGGGAGCTTACTGCAAGCCAGGTTCCCCTCAGACAGCCCAGGATCCTGCTTACCCAGCCATGAGTCCCCTGTTTAACAAAGGCAGCATAGACCCGGCTGGAGAGAAGGCAAGCTTCCCTGGCGAATATGTCGGTTTCTGCCCCGGAGGGCCGAGTGGCCTGGTAAGCAGGGAAATGCTGATCTAAGCCGCTGGGGCTGGTTGCGGGCAGGTCAGTTTCTCTTTGTGTCAATTTTCCGAATGCAAGGTAATCCACCAAAGCAGTGAGGAGATTTGCGCAGAGAAGCCGCTTGCACCGGCCCTACCCCAAACGATTCCTCACCATTTGGGGCCTGTGCCAAAACGGTTTCCAGTCCATGGTGATCCCAGCGCCCCTGGCAGCTGGTTCCTGGGCAGACTTGAGCCATGCTCCGGGGAGGATCTGTTCTCGCAGAGTGAGAGAGAAAACAAACGAGTTGGGGTCAATACTCTGAGAGGTGGACAAGTCTTTAGCTCAGCCAAGGAACGAATGGGGGACAAAATGGGGGAGGGCTGGCTCCTGCACGTCTCTCCTCGCCAGCCGGAATCCGCAGACCCTCACTCACTGCCTCCTGCGCAGAGCCCGGAGCCCCAGGGGTCGCCGGACCCTTGGGGAGATAACATCAGAACCAGTGGTCTCCCGGCAGTGCATAAGGGTGGAGAAGGTGGTTCCTTCCAGGTGCCGGTTAGCCAACCGAAAATGCGTGTGTCTCTGTCCCTTCTAGTCCTGGCCTTCATCTGCCCCCTCCTCAAGAAGTGCTCCCTCCTCCTCTTTTCAATCTTCCTGGCAGCATGGTGGGGGCTGGGCCCCAGCCAGCCTAGCTTTCAGAGCTGGCTTCTCTGGAAGTGCCCTTGGTTCTGACGCCTAAAGCTTTTTGCTTGTACAATGTAGGCCCACCCTGGGCCCCAATTTGTTGGCAATTGAGGGGGGTGCACAAGTAGATCCGGAGAGGTTGCTGGTGTAGTAGCGGCTCAGACCAAGTCCCACTTCCTCATCTTCCTGCCTGGCCCTGGTCAGTTTCTTCCCCCTATTTCCCCGGCCCCCACCCCTTTTGGAGCAGGACAGCTTCTATGCGGAGGTGATATTGGGGGAGGGGAAGGCACTGCTGGGAAATTGGCTTCTGTGTTCTCCTGCCCTTACTCCCTATTATAGATTCATCATTTTCATCAGCACAATGGCTTCCCACCACCTTTGCCTAGATGTTTCCTTCCCGTAGGTATGGTTTCCAGTTACAAAGCACTTTTATGGCCAGCCTCCTACCTGAGTGTCATCTAAACCCTCAGCTAAACCCATTGTACAGAGTATGATATTGAAGTCAGAAAGACAAAAAGACTCAGAGGAAGTTTACATGGGCAAAGCTGGAGCTGGTTCTTGAGTCTTCCAGGATTCACAGAAGGGGAGAGGGCGGGACTCAAGATTCCAGAGAGAGGGCAGTGGACTGTCTGAGTGAGTACACACATGTGCGAGGCATTTTCTCTGGTTTTACTATATCTTTCCCCATGACACGACTGTCCATCTCTGTCAGCGCCTGTCTGTTGGTTTGAGCCTGTTAGGATTTCATCCCTGTTCTTTCCCTGTGTCCCTGTTTGCGTGTCTGTGTGTCCCTTCATTTATCGTCTCTGGTGCCGCTAGGAGGAATTTCCATAACGTTGTGGGGTTTTAGAGTTGGGTCTTCCCACTGAGTCAGCAGAGACCCTCTCCCCACAACCTTTTACTTAGCCCTGGTCTTTGGGGTTTGGATAGGGCCCCTGGTGGGTAGTACGCCCTTATCAGAGCCTAAGGAGTTTCTGTGCGGGCCAGCCCTCAGAAACCAGAGCGACAAAGGCCTCAGGGGTGTCTTTAACCCTTCTCCCCCAACCCTCCCCCAAACCCTGCTTAGCCTGCCCGGTGGAGGCGGGCCTGTGTTTCCCTTGTATCTGTGTGTCTGTTTCCTGGTCTTTGCCTTGATTTGTTTGTATCTGTCTCTGTGTCAGGCTCTCTGAAAATTCTACTTGGCCCTGAGAAGTATAGCTGGGAACATGCACTCCTCAGGGGATGAACCCTCACCCAACTGGAGTCCATAGGAAGTAGAGGCTGGGACTTGGGTTCTCTGAGGAGATGCAGGGCTGGAGCTGGGGTCCCAGAAAACAAAGATTCCTCTCCACAGATGTCCTCTGTCTTCTAGATGCCCCTTTACTGGGCTTCCTCCATTTTCTCTCCTGGACTTCTTGCCTCCCACTGTACACCACTCTCATCTTTCTTTTTGCCTGTACTAGCAGATCCATTCCTTTCTCTCCTCCTCCGCCTTTCTAACCCGAGGCTTCCCTTCCACACTCTCTGTCCTTGCTGTCTGTTTCATTTAGTTTCCACGCTTTGCATCCTTTCCCTCGCTTTTCCTCTTTTCTTTGCCCATCCTGCCTCCCTCTCTCAGGCTTCAGGCTTTACTTCTTTCCAATCTCAGGGTAAGTGGGAGACATTGCCTTCTCAGACCAGGTAAATTACCTCCCCACCATCCTTTAAATGCTCTATTGGATAGGACTGTGACTGAGCCAGAGAAGGCCCAGCTAAGTGAGTTTGGGAAACTTCCCAGGAAGTTGAGGGAGATAGGGGGCTCCCAGGTCATCCTGAGTCTGGTGTCAGGTGTGGTTATATGGATCAGACTCCGGAAGAACATAGGTAGACTTGTCTTTGTGGTTAAAAGTAGAGGGTTTGGGGACCTGCTGTCACCTAGAGTGTCCAATCCTTGGGGTTTTTCCATGATGCAAACAGTCCCAAAAGCTCACAAATGTCCTGTAGGACTGCTCTTGGAATTTAAGTCCTCTGAAAATTGCCACTGCGTTTTGGGCATGAAGTTTAAATTGCCAGGGGCGTAGGGAACAAGCAGTTGCAAATGGGTTACAAGGCCTGGACCAATAGGTTATCTCAAAAGTGCGCTGGATGCTTTTAGCTTCCTTTTTGTCCTCTCAGATGAGCTTGTACCAATTTTGAATTTACTTTCTTCACTCCAGCCTGTTCTCTAAAGATCTGTACAATTCTTTTTTATCAGGTGTTCCCAACCCCAGAACAAAGCCTTTCTAAGGCCCTTGACCAGGGATGGCTGTCATCTTTCTGTTTTAGGTGAACTATGCAGTTTTGTTTCTAACTGCGAAATCCTGTTTGGGATGGTTTTCCTATTTCTTATGTCTGGGGTGTTTTAGAACGATCAAAACGGATTAAAGCTCATTTTGAAAATCAGAGACAAATTCGGCTGAGAATTAGAATTAAGTACTGTCGTTACCTATAAAATTGTGTTTTTCCTTGAAATCAGCCTGAGCTCAGAAATTTTGGGAAATATTCAGTTAGGACCCTCATGGAAAACTTCAGTGAATTGCTTTGGCAGTTTTAAGGAAATAGGTTATGTTATGGGTGTTTTTCTCCTTTTATTTCAGATGTTCATAAACCTAGATAGTAATTGAGTGCTGGGCGGGTAGCTGAGATGAGGTGGCTATTTTATGTTTTAGAATTGGAGTGTGTGTGTGTGTGTGTGTGTGAGTGAGTGAGTGAGAGAGAGAGAGAGATGTCTGAGATGTCCTAGCTTCCCTGGTATAGTCTAATCCCAGGCAAGTCCCAGTTTAGATGGAGATTTCCCCATCGTTGGCCTCTGAGCTGCCAGCAGCATTGGTAAAATAAATGCTTGCACTTGGCTTTTGGCTTTTGACTGTCCTCAGCGATGTCAGTTAGTGGCTGATTAACAGCTACAAGGTCAATGATGTTATACTGGCTCACTCCGTGTTTACTGGTTTTGTTCTTCATTTACTTGGATCCCTGTTTCCCTCCAGATGGACTCTGATGTAAGAGAAGGGAGCTTATTGGGTGGAGAAGATACTTTCCCAGACTCCTTTTGCTTAAAATCCATCTCAGAGTGCTTGTAAAACCTGGGACTTGGAAGCCTTCTCCAGCTTCTTTATTTCCCCCCTGAACCAACTTCATGCTGCTTGTCAGTTGCAAAATCACTTCAGAAATTCCAGGGAAACTCCTGTATAACAAATCCTGATGTAGTAGAGTGGAATGTGATCCTCTGACCCATTTCTTTTGTGTGCTCTGAGGGTACAGTGGTCAAGTCTGCATGTCAGCCTTACCTTTTTTGTTTATTTTTCCCCTTTATTGAGGGATGAGCCCCATCTTTTTAAAGAAAAGGGTTTTTTTTTGTTTTTTGTTTTATCAAGGCAGTGGTTGGATTTTGTTTCAGTACTCGGCAGACACTATTTAAACAAAAAATTTTAAGTCCTTAGCCCTTGAATCAGATTGCTGATTAAAAAAAAACAAAACAAAAAACAACCCATTTTTTTTCCCCTGAGATCTAGGTTTATTGAAGTAGTCCTTTTCACTTTTACAGATATTTGTTAAAAGGAAAAGAGTTTTGTTTGTAAAAATCTGTTTATATTTGGTGTATTTTAAAACATTTTCTCCCCAGGATCTTCCTTAGACCTCAGCATCATGCATGTAATAAGTTGTGTCTCTAGTGTAGATTGGGGTCTTTTACATATTCCGTTGTTAACAAAAAATTACAAGGCGGATGCTAGCAACTAAAGAAAACATAGTATGGGGATGCTTGTTATCAATAGCCCAATTGACTGGCTGAAGATGGACAAAGGCAAAGGTTAATTTTAAAAAGCAAGATGCTCGTGAAGCCTGCACGATCAGACTCCAGGCTCAAGACATCCAGCCTGCGGCCATTTCTGATCAGAGGGGCTCTGGGTGCTTGTAACAGCGCTTCTGGTATTATGTGACTGGTTCTAACCACCCTTTCCCTCGCCTTTTGTTTCTGATCTGTTTCAGGACATGGAGGAGTGAATCAGCTTGGGGGGGTTTTTGTGAATGGACGGCCACTCCCGGATGTAGTCCGCCAAAGGATAGTGGAACTTGCTCATCAAGGTGTCAGGCCATGCGACATCTCAAGGCAGCTTCGAGTCAGCCACGGTTGTGTCAGCAAAATTCTTGGCAGGTAAAGGCAGGAGCTACAGGCTTCCCTTGATTTTTCAAATAATGACCTAAAACATGACCCAGCAGCTGTCCAATGTGCCTGCGTCATATTGAAAATCATGGTAGCACTTCGCTAACATGCATAGTACTTTGGAATTTGCGAAGCCCTTTCAAGGCCATTCCATTCAAAGTAGCCCTGGGAAACCCCCATTTCAAATGACATGTGGAATAGGGTGACTCAGTCAGGAGGAATGACATGTTTTCTGAAAGCCTGGTGAATTATTCCAAAGGACCCACGAGTAAGAGGTTCTTGGGAATTTCCCTTACACATCTTGGGTGAGCCCGGGACCTGAGCAGGGCTGGGTGGAAAATCCACAAGTTATAAAATCACATTATCAAGTTCAATGTTTTATTTTAACGTTTTCAAAAAGCACATTCCTTTTTTAAAGGTCAGCTGTCATTTTCAGTTTTGGGGTATCATCAACCTTCTTATGTGGCTGTAGTATTTTCCTCCTTATATGTTTCGTTTCCTTCATAGTGACAGGCATCCTAAGTGTATATTAGAGAGGAAAAAAAAACAGAAAACAAACACACACTAACTCTAAAATCTGACATTTGAAAGTTGCCACTTGACCCGTCGATTTGCTGCCAGCAAAATACTAATGATGCCAATCGATGCCCAGCCTTCGAGTACTCCCGTTTATTTTCTCAGGAGAACCTCAGTATGATCCAGGGAAGCATGTTTTGAGATGAAGAAACAAATCTACAGAGGTCAAGTGACTGACCCAGGTCTATCCAGCCAGTCAGTCCTCTCAGACTGGGAGGAGGCCTCAAGGACTCCTAGACCATCGGCATCTCACCATATCCCAAAGCCAAAACCACAGGTTTTTTTTCTGGGCATGTGAAGTTGTTAGAGGTCTGCCCTAGCAGCCGGAGTATTCTCAGGTCTAGCTGTTCAGTGCTCTCTCAGGCTTTTTCTCCCCGGGTCAGAAAACAACCTTGGTCCTATAGCTTGCATTATGATTTGAGAACAGTTGCCTGAATAGAAAAAAAAAAAAAAATTTGAAGTATGTCAGTGACATTGTGATTTTCTGCATGTTTTTTCCCTTTCATCTGCTGGAATTTAAGAAATTCTCTTAGATGGAGGGAATAGCAGTTTCTAACCTTGGGGAGCCGTATTGGAGGCCAAGGGAAGAAGTTTCAAGGCCAGGGGTCTGGCATCTCCTTTGGGGAACCTTGATCCTTGTGTTTATTCCTTATCCCCTCCCCACCCCAGGTCACCTCACAGCCAGGGAGGCTCTGGGCTCCACTCCTGTTTAGCACTCGGCAGCAAATGAGCCCTAGCCAGAGTTCAAGGAGGAAGGCTGGACATCAGCATGGTGTTCTCATTAGATGGTGGTTTTAGGCAGGAGGATGTGAGTGAGAATAAAAGAAGAAAAATGGAGGAGAGGGAGATGAAGAGAAAAGAGAATGATTGATTTTAAAACAGAGAATAGACTAGAATAGAGCAGTGAAGACAAGACAGAAGGAGAGAGAGAGAGAGGAAAGAAATATTTTGGACTATCTCAGTGTCAAACTTTGAGAGCCAAGTGGATCTTAGCTTTCTTCTTGGGAAGCCTCTTCATTGCACTGAGGGAGAGAGAGAGAAAAAAGAAGGCCTTTCCTTTGTTTTTGCTGAGACGTTATTGAGCCGACATCTTGCTTGCTGTTTGAAATCTTCTCAGGGCAAGATGCCGAGCCCTTCTCAAAGGGGACGTCCAGATGCCGAGTCCTCATGTTCTGGTGCCCGGGAGCCCTCTAGATCTCCCCTGGAGACTGAAGGGGACAAGGACCCTCCCAGGCCCAGCCACCAGCCTCCCGAGGCTCAGAATAGATTTGTCACTAGGTAGAGTGGCACTCGGAAGTTATGAGCCGCTCCGGTGCCTGGCCGTTTAAGTTGTCAACAATAAATTGGAATTTCATAGCTCATTATTTTCATAACTAAGAACCACAGTGGACAAAATGTCACTCTAATTAGAACTGCCTTTTAAGAAACAAGTTCAGGCCTAAAACAGTGTGACTGGGAATTTCTGAACTGGGGCTATTCCATCCACTGACTTGTTTTTTTTGGTCACCGAAGAATTTGATGGGCGCACTTGGAGTGACAGATTATAGAGAGTGTGTTGTGTGTGGTGGCCGTGGTTTTCAGAGGCTGCATGACAAGGCAGGCAGAGTCCCTGGGGCAGGCAGAGACCCCCATCATGTTGGGAAGGTGGCGTTTTGCCAGGAGTGTGGGCATTCAGTCCACAGAGCTCGAGGCTCAGGAGCCTGGTGGCATGTGAGGCCCATTTAAATCCACCCAGAAAGCCTTGTCTTCTTTCATTGGAGCCTGGCTGGGGGGTTCAGACCGTTTGGAACTGGGTGGTATGTTACACAGTAATAAACACTCAGAGGATTTTAATCCGCAGCACGTGCTCTTTATGTTTTGCAAAGCTTTTTCTTACCCATTCTGCATTTCTGCCTGCGTCCTGTGAGGCAGGCTGGGCAGACGTCCTCCCCTTATTATACAAATGGGGCAACAGAGGCCCAGAGAGGCTAAGAGATTTGGCCAAGGTCACACAGCTTGTTAGTGTCAGAGGCACAGACTAACACACCCAATTCTTTACTCCCAAACTAGCGTGCGGCGTGTTGGTGGCGGCTGTCTGTTGTGTGTAAGCCAAGAGGCTGAGTGGTTGTTGTGCTGAGAGGAAAGAGCAATTCTTCAGTCCAATTCCTCACTTTGCACAGTTGCCAACTGGGGTTTCCCCTGGGGTGTCAGGGTTGCCTTCTATGGGCCTGGCTGATGGGTCAGTCAAAAGGCAGACAGAGGTCTCATGTCAAGGCTGTGACCTGCTGTGGTTGGCCCTGCGCGGAGAGCCCTGGGTGCTGCCACCCCAAGCCAGGCCAGCGGGACAGGGGCTGGGGGGAGGGGCAGCTCCCTCCCGCGGCTCTCTCAGCGGCTGCGGGAATATTGCCGGCTCATTCCACTAGCATGTTTTGAGTACTCAGCCCAGGTTTGTCTCTGTGTCTGTAACCTCTGCCCCAAGACAGTGCCTATAACTGGCACTCTGTAACTAGTGAGTGAGTGCGAAGGTGCATGCGAACTGCCTGGTAAACGGGAAAGCTTTCTATAGTTGCAAGGGATCATCAACATCATCGTTTTCATTTTCATAAAGCAGAAGTTTGCTCTAGTGGGAAGAAGACTGGGTTGAGAATCAGATCTGAAGGCTGGGACTGGCTCGGACTTCCAGAAGGAAGTTGGGCAAGTCACTTATTCTTCTAATCATCAGTTTCCCCTTCCATAAATAAAACCCACTGGCCTCTTAGGATTGATGTGAGGATCCAGATAATTTGAGGAAGAGCTCTGTATAAACTTTAGAGCACTGTGCCTAAATAAGGAGTTACTGTGTTGTTGATAGGAAGAAATAACTTTTTATTGTAAAATTGGAAGGATAATTGGAAGCTGCAGAGATTGCTGTGTGCCTTAATTTGGGTGCCTTTCTAACCTTCTGGCAAAATAACATTTTCTTGGCTAGTTCTTAAAGCCTGTTTGTGATTAATTACAATTTTTCGGTCATTACAGAAGGAGGGAGGATAGGTTGAGTTTTGCCTTATGGTTCATATTTGTACATGACTCACTTTTCTCAATGAAAAACAGAATTTCCACTTCTGCATCACTGCTCCCACTGCTTCCAAATCTCTGTTTCTAGAATATCCACTAACTTGGCCCTAACTAGATTTACCCAGACTGAGAATTTCAACATCTCTTTAAATGTAACTAGTCGTTGTTCTTGGGTAACACTTCCCATCCATCCCATAGGAGAATCACCTCTTTCCCTTACCTGTTATAAACTCTTGGTAGGTTGAAAAATTACCAGTGATGGGGGCGCCTGGCTGTCTCAGTTGGTGGAGTGTGCGACTCTTGATCTCAGGGTCTTGAGTCCTGGCCCCACGATGGGTGCAGAGTTTACTTAAAAAAAATTAACAGTCATTTCTAAAATGTCTTCTTGGCTAAAAAAATTCTCAACAGCAAGATAATCTCCTTTGCAAGAGAAGTCATGAATTCCTCTGTAAATGTTGAGAGACATCCAGTAAAGACTCAGATTCAGAAAAGGAATCAAGTAATATTTTTTCCCCTGGAATGATCTTTCACGGCACTCTTCTCCCTGGTCTCGGTTTTACTGTAAAACCCTGACATCCTATTTGTGTTAACGAGGAAGAGCTGATAGCATGGAAATGTCCTTAGAAACAGCGATTTACCTCAGGGGAGGTCCCTGGAAGAGCTGCAGTGACTTGTGGTTGGCTTTTTTTGATTGCTTGGGTTTTGACATATATATATTTCCAGTTAATTCTGGAATCCAACACTCCTTTTAATTTTTTACTAAGGTTATCATTTTAATCTTATGGCAAAAAAAGTTGCATTTTAGGGGACAGTTTCACAGAATGCAGATGGAATCTGCTAGGGGATGGGAGTGCTGGTAAATTAAAGGCACAAGCCAACTTTCTGGGGGAAATTTCGCTCGGAAGGCCGGGCCTCCCTCCTGGTTTGGCCAGTGGGTCTTGTGTGATCCTGGACAAGCCATTTAACCTCTATGGATCTCTGTTTTATACCTACCAATAGGGACCTATTCATTCATTTTTCTTTCATTTGTTCAAAATATTTACGTGTTTTAGAACTGTTGGGGGGGGGCGGCTGGGTGGCTCAGTCGTTAAGCATCTGCCTTCGGCTCAGGTCATGATTCCAGGTCCTGGGATCGAGCCCCGCATCGGGCTCCCTGCTTGGCGGGAAGCCTGCTTCTCCCTCTCCCACTCCCCCTGCTTGTGTTCCCTCTCTCGCTGTGTCTCCCTCTGTCAAATAAATAAATAAAATCTTTAAAAAAAAAAAGAACTGTTGTGGGGATCAAATGGGAAAGCTGACTTGAAAGTTTTCTGTAAACTGTAAAATGGTAGATAAATGTGATAGAGTGAATTAACTAATTAATGCATAGCATCCGGACCAGCACTGTCCAATAGAAATAGAATGTGAGCTGCGTTTGAAATTTAAAATTTCCTGGTAGCATATTTAAAAAGGGGAAAATAAACAGGTAAAATGAATTTTATGTATCTTATTTAGCCCAGTATATGAAAAATGTGATCACTTCAGCATATAACCAATATAAAAATTATTAATGAGAGATTTTATGTTCTTTTTTTTCTACTAAGGTTTGACAATCTGGTGTGTATTTTATACTTATAGCACACCTCAATTCAAATGAGCCATATTTCAAATGTTCAAAAGCCCCGTATGGCTAGTGGCTGCTAAACTGGACGGCACAGATCCAGATGGTTTCTGGACAGAGTTAGCTATTTTGTTGCAAACATCCATTTCGCTGGTCCATTTTGCTGGTTCCTCATGGCTAAGCTCCTTTCTCCTTGGGTCCTAGGTATTATGAGACGGGGAGCATCAAGCCTGGAGTAATTGGAGGATCCAAACCAAAGGTCGCCACGCCCAAAGTGGTGGAAAAAATCGCTGAGTATAAACGCCAAAATCCCACCATGTTTGCCTGGGAGATCAGGGACCGGCTGCTGGCGGAACGGGTGTGTGACAATGACACGGTGCCCAGCGTCAGTTCCATCAACAGGTGAGGGGCTGGTGCCTGTGGGGGGGCTAGGGATCTGGGTGGAGTGGGGTATCCTAGAGGCTCTGTGGGTGCTTTCCCTAAGGATCTGGTCTCTCCATTCATTAAGGCTCCTTAGGGGTTATCAGACAGGAGGGGGGCTAATGGGGCCTCAATAGATCTCTCTATCACCTTTCTCGTCTTTCCAAAGTGGGCAGGAGTTCTAGGCCCAGGGAGGGAAGGCCATGTCAGTACCCAGGCTGCTTGAGATTCTTCTGAGCCCAGAGTGATTTTTATCACTCGCTTTCTCACCCGTCTGTGTGTGTGGAGCACTTAGCAGGGGATTGTCCTGATCGGGCCCCACAAATGTCACTTCCTTGTAAGCCCATGCTCAAAGTCTTAGCACTGGCCTATATCAGAGCTTCCCAGGAAGAAAATCCCTGCCTTCAGTTTGGGCAGAGGTTGAGTCGCTGAGTGTGGAAAACAGCCTGGACTTGAAGTTGGAGGATTTAGTTCTTGTCCCAGCTCTGCCACAACCTTCAAGTGTGACCTTGACAAAGCTCTTCCTGTCTCTGAGAGCCCCAGACTTTGGAGGTTCTGATGTGGGTCTGTGATCTCTAAGAGTGACATCCAGGGCACTAAGATGCTGTGGAGTTAGGGGGCTGCCCTCTACCCAGTTGCCCTCAATCTCACTCATGGAGAGAAAGAACCAGAGAAATATCGTGAATACCAGGCATGGGATCTTCCTGGGAGCTGCAGAGGCACCTTCTACTCTGCAGTCTGATGCAGGAAGTATCTAACGGAGCTCTCAGAGCTTTAAAAATTCCTGAAAGAAAGTTTTCTATTGTAGATGGTGCAGTCTCAACTCCATCTAAACCCACAGAGGTCAAGGATGAAGTTGTAAGATAAACAGAAATGATGGTTGTCTAAACTCCACAAAGAGAAGAGAAGCCAGCAGACCAAAAACTTGACCAGTTCCCATTTCTCCAAGGTCACAGGCAACCCTTGTCAGTGCAGAGCCTATTTGGGCATAGGAGACCCCTTGCCTCCGGCAGAAAGAGGTGGTTAGACTAGAATGTCTCAGAGATCCCTTCTGGGCCTGCTGGTTGTTCCTTCTGTGATGACTCAAATGCACAGAGTCACTGTGTCAGTGTCTGTGTTGATGTTTTGAGTCCTGCTATTTCATTACTGTTAGCCTGTTTTCTTTCTCTCAGCAAATCTTTACCTTGGCCCTGACATCATGCAAGGTGCTGAGAAGAGAGAGGGAAATTGGGCACACTGTCTCTTAGTCTCTGTTCTAGAGGGCCTCCTTGTCTAGGACAGGATTCTGGTGCGGATTAGAAGTCTGGTCAGCCCAAATTAGCTGAGGAGGTAGCAACTGTTGTGGTGGGTTTGGGGGGCGGAGAATACTCCTGTTCTTTTTCTGGATTATGAGGGGCTCCAATGTGCTTTGTGAGTCCCCTGCTTCTGGCTCATTGCAGGATTTCCATCACGCAAAGCAACGTGACTTTTTCCCCATGTCTCTAACGTGGAGTGAGGCATACGATGCCTATCAGCAATGAAGCAGCAGAAGTCTGCTCTGCAAAGAAACTTCTGCCAAACCCATGGTCAGGCTTTGGGGGCCCACGGATTTCCCAATGTAGGGTGTACATGTAATTGGTGGTTTGAAAGATAACTTTAGGTTGCCCGTGGGGGTCCCAAACTCTAATGCCTGTTGTGGCCAGGCATTGAAGCAGGCCAGGTGTGAGGTGATAGGGAAAGGTCGGGTCTTTGGCAAACAGAGAGCACAGCAGTATTGAAGGGGCAGATGCTACTCAGCACCAGCTGAATGCTGCCAGGAACGCAGGCCCAGGATTTGCCAGAATCTTTCCACTCTTAAAGGGAATCTGGAAACTAGGATTAGCGTGTGCATGTATCTATGTGTTTGTGTATATAAAACCTCCATATTTTCAAATGGGGGTGACTCATTTCAGTGAAAAAAAAAGCCTTACGGGACAAGCATAACTCATTTGCAGGGCTCCAGCCCTTCTGTAATACAAGGATGAAAATTATTTTACGATGAATTTATTTTAATGGACTTTAGAAAAATATAACTAGAACACCAAGCCAGTCAGTGTGAACTTTATGGACTATCCCTCCCCTTTACAGTAAAGAACTAGTGTTGCCTCATAAAAGAAGTCTATTTAAGTCAAAAAGTAAGTTACTTGAAAGGAACAGATGAAATAAATAGAGCACACAGCTTGGCAGAGGGGGTGAAGGCTGTAAGGGGTACTTGAATGAGTGTCTAGGGAAACCGTGGACCAGCCGATGCCTTGTGCTTGGAGCTTTTCTGTGCAGCTCTGGCTGCTGGTTGCTCGTGGCTGGGGCCGTGGCCGGCCTCAGGGCCTCCCGGGTGTCCCCAGCGGGGGCTGTACCTCTGAGGTGTTTTCACACCTGTGGTCTCCTACAGCCCTTGAGGCTTAACTCTGTTCTGTGGCAGGTAAAGAAACTGAGGCCCAGAAGGGGAGTGCAGAGGAATGATGATTTTGAGGTGGAGCTGGGAGTCGAGCCTAGGTTCCCTGATGGTAAGAGGAGGGCCTGTCTCTTTGCACTGTTCTGGAGGACTCTGCCAGTGACAGGACTGAGGATCTGACAGAAGGGAGGCAGGGGGGAGTAAAACAGTCATTCCTACTCCGTCTCTGTGCACTTTGCAGCCTTTGTGCTTTGCAGCCTGTCTGCAGCTCCCTCAGGGACCCGTAGCCCTCTCCTGCGCACCCCTCTGGGGGCTCTTCTCTGGGAGCACACTCTGGCTCCTTACTCCATTCCTCACCCAGAGCTCTTTGTGGTCTTTAGCCGACCAACGCAGCAATGCAGATAGATGAGGTGCGGGACACTGTCTGTTGCTGCCCGCCCGCCCCCCACTGCCCTAGAAAGCCTGAGCCATCCCAGCATGCAGTTCTGTTTTCCATACGAAGGCAAAGCTGCTGCACTGTGTTCAAATGGATGCAGTTTCGAAAGAACCGTCTTGCAAATGTCCATAGATTCCTCTCCCAGCCCCTGCCTCCCTTGGGGGCAACTTCTCACGATTCCTTTATTTCAAACAGCTAAGGAGGGAGTGGTGGCTGGATTGGTAGCTATTCCGGGGGCCACAGTGTCATCTCCAGTGCCCACCCCCATAAGTATATGCCTTCCTGCTGTCTTCTGGGAGACCAGCCCGGGAACCCCTGACCCACATGGAGTTAAGTGCCGTCGCACCTGTTGTGCTGAGCGTGTGGGAGATTTCCTGGGACACAAGCCAAGTGTCTTGTTATTCTGTGGCTTCCTAAGGACAAGGAAGCGCTGGGATGCTGCCGAAGCTGCACCAAGGATTTTTAGAATCCAGCCTGAGTGTCCGTTGGAGGGGACGGTCCGAGAGCTGACAGAAACAGGTGGAATGGAGCCTGCCTTCTGTTCGAGACCTGTGGCTCTAAATCAGGGGCCAAGAGATGGGCACCATGGTGGCATTCCCAGTTAGAAGGACAGTTCTCTTTAGCACCAATTGGTTGTTATCATGTGAGAACGTGGGGTCAGCATGGCTAGGTGTTCGGATTTTTCAAGGGAAGCTACGAATCCATGTATTTATGTAAAAGCTCCCACCTTGCAAATATTGGCAACTAATTCAAATGAAAACAAGTAACCGTGCAAGCCAAATAAAGCTTGTTCAGGGATGGACGTGGCCTGGGGGATGATAGTTGTAAACTCTACTCTTCCTCTGAACTTGGGCAGCAAGACTTCTGAGATTGTTTACCCATTCCCTCTTTCTTCTCCACATCAGTTGCTGGCCTGGGTGTCCCCTGTGGGTCCTCTCCCAGTATGGTCCAGTTGAACCCTTGGTTGTGGATTCTTTCTTTCTTTCTTTCTTTTTTTTTTAAAGATTTTATTTATCTATTTGACAGAGAGAGAGAGATCACAAGTAGGCAGACAAGCAGGCAGAGGGAGAGGGAGAAGCAGGCTCCCTGCCGAGCATGGAGCCTGATGTGGGGCTCGATCTCAGGACCCTGGGATCATGACCTGAGCTGAAGGCAGATGCCCAACCAACTGAGCCACCCAGGTGCTCCTGGTTGTGGATTCTTAGCACAACTGATGGCCCAAGATTCTTAGTGCCCAGTGGCAGTTTGATCAGTTCCGTAGATGTGGGGATCTCTTCAGGCTTGTCTTCCTATTTCTTTTTTAAAGGCACCATGATTTTCTTTTTCAGTGTAATTGTGTGTGTGGGGGGGAATGTGTCTGAGAAGACCTAGCCTTTCAAAGAAGTGAGGGTGATGTTGAAATCGGATCTTACAAATGCCTGTAATACCTGAAGTCCCTGGGACGTTAGTCCTTCAGCTTCTAAAAGGATTTGGAATCCAATATTTCCTGTAGGAAATATTTAGCAGGGGGATCACTTCCTTTGAATGTGGTCCAAAGGAAAGTGCTTAGGCATGGGACCTGGAAGTCTGGGCTGACCTGCTGTGTGACCCTGGGCAAGTCACTGGAGCACTCTGGGCTTTGGTTTCCCCATTTGGAGGAACTGGTTGATTGCTGAACTTTCTTCCCTGTTAGATGGTCTAGGATGTTCACATGGCACCCAGGGTCATGCTCATGCTCAGCAACGTAGAGGTTAGACCTTTTAGTGTTAAGTGCCAGTTAGCCAGGCTGTCTCTGGTTTAGAAAAGGTCTGGAGTGTGACTCTTATTGTGACAAGTCTTGATTGCTTGTTAATTTTAAATTTTTAAAGAACTGCTATGATTCAGTTAGTCTTGTTCTTCCCACTACCATTTCTTCTCAGCGGAAGATAATGCTCTTTGTTCTTTTTTTTGGCAGCTGCTGCAAGCAGATGGGCAAAATCTCTATCCCTGGGGACAGCTTTGGCGTGTTCCCTATATTTTGGTCTCGCCTATAAAGGACAACCGCAGTACAGCCTTAAAATAGGGTGTGGGGATGGCTGCTTTCCCCTCCCCAACTCCCAGGGAGGATCCCATGTGTTTTTAGGGTATTCGTGGAAAGTACTAACCTTTTAAGGTTGAAGCTGGTCTTTAGTCGTTATGAAGATACTACTGAAAATAACAGCTAACATTTATAGAGAATTTACTATGCAGTAGCCACTATTCTAAATTATTAATTAGTTTAATTCTCATAATAACCCTAGGAGGTAGGAATGATTCTTAGCCCCACTTTGCAGATGAAGAAACTGAGGCACAGAGAGGTTAAGTAATTTACTCAAGGCCATGCATTTGGCAAGTTGGAAAAACTGGGATTCAACCTCTGATTCTGGAGCCTGTGTATTTATTTATTTATATAATTTTTTAAAAAAAGATTTTATTTATCCTTTGGGGGTGAGGGGCAGAGGCAGAGGGAGAAGCAGGCTCCCCGCTGAGCAGGGAGCCTGATGCGGGGCTCGATCCCAGGACCCTGGGATCATGACCTGAGCCCAAGGCAGACGCTTAAACGACTGAGCCACCCAGGCGCCCCGTGGAGCCTGTGTATTTAATCAATATGCTGCAGCTGCCTCTTGATTATTTATAACAATTGATAATGTCTTACCAAATGATTTATAAGTATTTTAAAAGAAAAATAAGGAAAATATAATTTTCTTTGTTTGCTTAAATTTAATGGCCAGACAATACTTTGAAAAGTTAGGACTTTATGCTGAAAGTAATGGGAAATAGTTCTGATATATTTTACCATATTTTTGTATATACATAAACCATAACATAGATAAACTATATTTACATCTGGTATATCCATATATTCGCATCAAGCCATGTCTCTGTAGACAAACACACATATATCCACAGAGAAGGTGACATACACAAAAATACAAAAATTAGGTCAGATTCTAGCTTAATTCCAGGTGGTTCCAAAAGACTATCTCATTCCCAGGTCCTTGTGAATATGCTCCATGTTTGCTGAGTTAAAATAAGCACTTCGAATATTGGAGAAAACAAACACTGAATGCATTTGATGCAACACTTACACTGACTCATAGAAAAGGGCAAAGGACCCTGGAGGCTCAAGGGGCCTGGACTCCAGAGGACCCCGTGGTTGGGCTGTGGTATGAAGGGAAATGTCCGTTCCAGGCTCTCAGCCGAGCATGCTGAGCAGCCTGGGTGCCCACCACTGAGCTGTGAGATCGTGGAGAGCAGAGGCCATAACCCAGTGAGGGTATCCTCACTGCTCTCCATTTGTACAGGCTGGAGACCCAGTGCAGCTTGCAACTTGGACTTCCTGAAATAATGGTCTGGAATGTGCAAAAGCCTCTCATATGGCATTGGGTGAAGAGAGAGGGATACAAACTGTGTACATGGTTTAATCTTGATTTTGCTAACAGAAAATGGGTATTTCCTAATATGCATAGGAATGTTAGCATAAAGGAAATACACTGAAATGTGATTTTTAGATGTCTTCTTTGTATTTATTATCCTAAAAGTCTGCAATGAGCACAAAGCGCTTTTATAATTAAGAAGAATTCTAATAAGTGTTCTTTTAAAAGGTAATAGTTGGAGGGTGGAGTAGAGCTTTTCCAAAGAAGCTGAACATTGTATTACCACCCACACTTCTCCCGAATGCCAGGGAAGGAACTTTCTTGTAGACCTCACTGGGGCTTCTGGCCTGGCCAGGTTGGTTACTCTATGACACGCAGGGCTTGGAGTCTCATGGAGACCCATATAAGTGTGTTGTTCCAGAAAGAAATTTACAGACTAAGCTTCCCAGAGCCCAGTGTTCTGTAGAGGAACATCGGAGCCAGCAGGTGCAGAGGGAAGGCAGTACCGCTATTACCCCTTTTATACAGTGGGATTTTCTGGAAGATTTTTTCCCCCCAAAAGAGGATTTAATTACTTAAAGCAAGTAGTGTGGTCTCTTCCAAATCCCTCGTTCTATTGAGGCCCACAACAGAATGGACTTGCCCAGGGTCACAATCAAGTTCATCATATTAGAACTAGAGCAAGGTCTCTGGAAAGACAAGCCAGGACACCCCTGGCTCCTGGCTCTGTTGGAGCCTAACCATGAGATTTTGTACAAGGCAGCTTTGGAGGGTTCCTCGTAGCAAAGCCAAGCCAGCACTTTAAACCCTTTTTAGGTTGAGAGCAACACACATCCGTTTCTTTGATAATTTTGAACAGGTGGGGATGTGACTCCTCATGTGGCTCTCTAAGGCAGAGAAACCAGAGCACGTGGGCCCCCAGGGAAGAGAGGTCACCTGGTTCAGTCATTCTGCTGAGACGGGGCAGAGGTCCAAGGAAGAGAAGAAACTCCCTAACGTCACTCAGGGAGTTCTTTATGGAGCTGGAGCTGCTCCAGAGAAAAAGACGCCCATTCATAACACTAACATATCATCTTTTGTCTACGGAAGAGGCACTTGAATCCCAGACAGGGGTGCAAGTTATCCAAAGACACCCAGGGAGGTAGGGGCTGAGTTGGGACTAGTCCATAGCTTTTCTAACCCCCTAACTCCCAGTCTAGGGTATAACCTCCCTCCTCCTCTGACCCAGCTTGATGAGGCTTTTCTGGTTGTCCGTGCATAGCTAGTTGAGATATCTTCTCGATGATGGTAAATAGCCATTTATTTTCTTGCCCAACTGTCCACAGGATCATCCGGACGAAAGTACAGCAGCCACCCAACCAGCCGGTCCCAGCTTCCAGTCACAGCATAGGTAAGAACTTTTAAAAAAAATTTAAAGATCTAATGGGTTCCAAATAGTCTAAAGAACTTTTAATCATTCTTATGGACAGATAATTCTGCATAAAACACTTCGGCACACGTACTAATGCGCCTTCTTTGTCATTCTCCAAGGGCTGAACCTGGTAAATGAATTTTATAAATACTGCTAAAAGGTTTTGAATTTTACTGATTATTATGATAAATAGCTTTCACCATGAGACAGAAAATTGAAATCTAAGCCAAAAAAAAAAAAATCCACTAATGGGGGTCTATAGAATGTCAGATAATTAAAGTAATAAATCAAGAAAGGGATACTTATTCATAACATTTTCTGCATCATTAGTCAGTAAGTAGTTTTGAATGTGTTTTTTTTCTTCTATTAACCAGCCCTTCCACAATTCTTTGTGCACTTGCAGTCTTGAGTGAAGATGTGGCAAAACTTCCCAAACTTTCTCTCTCTCTTTCTCTCTCCCCCTCTCTCGCTTCGATCTCATGTACTCCATTAATTGTTGAGGGCTGCAGTGGGGATAGTCTGAGCAAGGGCCACTTGTAAGCGTGGGGGTCCTATTTCCTACTATTGAAGAATTCGGAAGTTTCCGTGCCTTTCCCTTCCCCGCAAAGACTGTGAGATGTCAGTGACATGTGTCTATTTAAGGCACGTTATTTCTCCACTTGGGATAAAGGAAACACCTCTGGGGGGAAGGTTATTCTATAAGAAAGTGGTGGCCATTCAGTAAGCCTCTGACAGTCCCTGTCACTGTCACTTAATAATGCCTCAGACTGTCTAATGTTTCCACATCTTTGTCACTCCCTCTTTAACTGCAAACTTGAACTCCCCATGGTGATGGGGAATGGGCAGACGCCAGGCTTATACTTCCAGGTTTGCCATTAACTCATCCGGTGAACTGTGTAAGTCCCTTTGCTTCTCTGAGCCTTAGTTTCCCCATTTGTGGACAGAGGTGCACAAACCAGGTGCTCCCTGAGGTTTCTGGTCCTCCATGTTTGCCTCTTTGGATAAAGGTAAGAGAGAATTCCTCCTTACCATAAAATAATTCTTTTTTTTTTTTAAAGATCTTATTTATTTATTTGAGAGAGAGAGAGAGCATGAGCAGGGGGAGGAGCAGACTCCCCGCTGAGCAGGGAGCAACGTGGGGCTTGATCCCAGAACCCTGGGATCATGACCTGAGCTGAAGGCAGATGCTTAACCCACTGAGCCACCCAGGTGCCCCTAAAATAATTATATAAGACTGATGAATCACAGCCCTGTACCCCTGAAACAAATAATACATTATATGTTAATTAATTGAATTTAAATTAAAATAAATAAATAATTCTTTAGTAGTCCATTCAAAAAGTGTTTGCTAAGCCCCTGCTTTGCAGGAGACTAGTGTTTCAAAGGAGGCAGGACCTAATCCCCATTCTCCAGGGCTTCTCAGTCTAATGGGGGAATGCAACTAAGAGAAGTTTGCAAAACACCTAGCTCAGACTCAAGAAGAAGGTACAGGGTACTGTGTGACCCAAAGGAAGGAAACTACCAGCTCTGCTGAGCTGGGCTGAAGAGGGTTGAGGAGGGTTTCTGGGGAAATGTTTATGGCTGAGATTTCACTTGTAGCTTTAACTATTTCAGATCACGGAACAGTGAATATCAGACTAAGAGTAACTTATGCTATTCTTTCAGTTGGGTTAGAGGAACAATTCTACTTGTAGGTCAGCAGAATGCTTTGTTTTGTTTCAGAAATTTTTATAAAAAACCTATCTTACATGTGTACAGCCCCTTATAGTTTACAAGTTTATCGAGGGCAGAGGAAACGGAAGTTGAGAGATTAAATAACTAGCCCAAGGACACCCTGCTCATAAGTGGTGGAGCCAGAATTGGAATTTGGGTCTTTTGCGTCTAGTGCTATCACAAAATATCATTGGCTCTGTCAACGACATGGTGAGCCTTGGTCATACGTGGTTGTTTTTTTAAAGTACCAAATGACTTGTGATCTTCTTCCTCTCTTCTTTGCACCTTAATACAGAAAAGGTTGTGAGATTTGCATAAATCTATTTTGAGGAGCTTCTTCTGGTGAAGGAAAAGAGAAGTTAACGATTTCTACTTCTGTGTCTCCTAAGGAAGATCTAAAAATCTAACTCAAATATGAGAAGAAAGGCACTGTTCCCTCTAGGTCTGTAGAAGTAAGAGCTGGATATGCTCCAAGGAAAGCACCAAACAGCTTCTAACGCAATCACCACCATTTCTTGTAATTTTCTACACTTTAGAGCCAAAGGCGGCTCCACCTGCCTCCAGCTAGTTATAGCCCAAGGAAATGTGTCTGAGATTGGTTTGTAGGCTTTAATGAACCAAGAAAGAATTCCCACAGCCCAGAAATGGAAATTCAGCTGGATAGCTCCCGATCACCCTGACGACTGACTGACTGGTCTTTCCCTTGGACTCCGGTTAGGAGTTAATGTGAAACTTGCACAAAACCTCCCCTCCCCCGTGCTTATCCTTGGGAATGTAGAGACCTGACCTCAGTCACAATAAGTCACTACCCCCGGCCCCCACATTTCCGGACAGGGGAAATCTAGACTTCAAGTCTAGACCCGAGGCGAAGTCCTAGTGCTACTGCTAACTGGCTAGATGACATTGAGCAAATCCCTTCACCTTGTGAAGTCTTATTTATCAAATGAGGTAAATAATAGCACTTTAGGTTGTTGCAACCATCAAATAGAAAAGCACTGCACTAATGTGAAGCATAGGATTGTTTTTCATGATTCCTTAATGAGGAACAGGTTACTCTAGGGGTTCAGACTTCAGCTTCTGAGTTCTGTGGCCTTGGGCAAGACACTTACCTTTCTCTGAGCTTTGGTTTCCTTACCTTTCCAATGAGATAATAACATTGCCTCCCTTATAAGATTGTTCTTAGAATTAAATAAAACAATGCCTCAGTAATGCCTGGCGCAGAGTAAGTTCTCAGAAAACGTTCGTTATCATTATTATGTATATCTATATATGATGTATGCACAATATATATTCTATTATATATCATATCATTATTACATAATTAATATTAAATATTAAAATCCAGGTAAACTGGAAGGAGAAAAGACTGAGGAACTATAAAAAGAAGGAACGGTCTGCCATTTGGAGTTTTGTTGGCTGAGTGTATGAGTGTGCAGGTATTTATGTCTGCACGGATGGGTGGATATGTAGCAGGGAATGAACCTGCTTAATGAGTAGTCTAGGTCTTTTTTTTTAGCACTGGCTGGTGGTGGGCCCTGGCTCCCCTCTCTCTCTTCTCCATTGCCCTGCTTCCTGCATCCTTGGACAGGCTGGGATTTGAGCTAGTACCCTTCTGACACTGTCCCATGCTCCCTCCTGCACCGCCAGTCCTCCTAGCTGCCCGTCCTCTCCCTCTCACCACCCCCAGCAGCAGGAAACCTGGGCAAACAGCCCCTGAGGGCAGCTCGCATCGCCCAGGTGTAGAGGCTGCCATAGGGCGAGTGTCCTCAGCACATGCTCGCCGCGTCCCGCACTCCCCGGCTCCGCGCGGGCAGGCAGTCAGTCGCACGCATCAGCCCAGTGCAGGGCAAGTGCCTTTGTTTGGGCCAAAGCGCCCGCCCCCACAGCCCTCCTGCCGGGCCCTGACCGCCCCTCTCCCTCTGCGCAGTGTCCACGGGCTCCGTGACGCAGGTGTCGTCGGTGAGCACGGACTCGGCCGGCTCCTCGTACTCCATCAGCGGCATCCTGGGCATCACGTCCCCCAGCGCCGACACCAACAAGCGCAAGAGAGATGAAGGTAAGAGATGCCCACGCAGCCCTGTCCGGGATGAACCCGATGGGCTCTGGTGTGGGGTGGATCAGTCAGGGGAGGAAGCGAAGATGCCCACTGAGCACCTGTTTGCCCGCAGAGCCCCTGAGTCCCCAGGCGGGGTGGACACGGGGAGGGGCTGAGTGCTCTGGGAGAGGCAGGCAGGCTGCTGGCTGGGACTGAGGGTTTCTCACTGACCCGCCCTCATCTTCACCTCTTGGGTGGAGGCAAGTGGGCCTGGCAGAACCTTCCTGCCTGAGCTTTGTGGTGTGTAAGAAGACCCGTATGCAGATCTGATGCCTGAGGGCAGGGTGTGCAGGGTGTGAGCAAACGGTTGTCCCCTCTGCAGAGGGAGCCCGGGAGGAGAGGGGGTGCTGCGTGCCCTGCAGTGAGAGGTCAGCAGGTGGGTTCTTGAAGGGCTGTGCACAGTCTCCCAGAAGGCCTCCAGTAGTGGTGAGGGTGGGGGCTTTGAGGAAGTGAATCATTTCATCTCTGCCCTTGGGCCTGGAAGGAAGGAGTACAGAGGCCTCCTGGGGATTACCAAGATGACAATCTTCCCAGTTCGTTTTTCTCAGCCCCTGTGTGTGCCTGCTGCCTGGGTCTCTGGAGCTGGCCGTCTCCGTCCCGGACATGGGCCCACCTTCACCCGGCTCTCCGTGGCCTGGATGGGCTGCCAGTGTGGCTGACCCCTGGGAGTCTGTAAGACATTAGTCAGGAAAGGAAAAAAAAAAAAAACACGCCTATGGTCTAGGGCCTGAGAGCCGCGTGACCGAAATCTTGATTCAGTTATTCTGTTCCTCAGCACAATTCCCTTTCTCAGCTCCCTGTAAGGGATGTATGTTCTCGGGAGCACGTGCCTAAGTACTTAAGATCTGTAACTAGAAAAATGAGTCGGCCCAGCAGTGGATTGGCCTGTGGTCTGCGTGTTCTGGGCAGTGCAGAGGCTGGGCCTGAGGCCTCCGTTTGGAGCTGTGGGAGAGCGTGGGGATGGTTCACGGCTTCGGAACCCGCCTCACCTCTTTCCCCTGTTCTTGACACTCGGAGCAGATGTCAGAAGTGTTTAACTCAGCGGGTGCTGTGCTGTGTTACCGCAGGAGGCAGTGGGCCTACCATCTCTGTTGGTTTATGGGGTTGATGCTGTCATCTTTTCTCCCATTGTCACCTGGACTCGAAGCAGATGTGCCCAAGCTGGGGCCCAGCTGTGTTTGATCACGGTGGAGGGGCGGGTTGTGTGACGCTCCCTCACAGGCTGAGGGATCCCAGCAGAGATTTTTGGAGAAATTAAAAAAAAAAAAAATCTGGTTTGATGTTTACCACCAAACAGACAGGTCCTGATTTTGGCGGGGGCCGGGGGGGCTGTTTTACCGTTTGCAGAACACTGTACCAACTTTCAGTCTCTGATCAGCGGCCACTGTTTAGCCTCTCAAGCTGCTTTAAAAGGTCTCCAGGGGCGTCTGGCTGGCTCAGTCGGTAGAGCCTGCAACTCTTGATCTTGGGGTCATGAGTTCAAGCCCCACGTTGGGTGTAGAGCCTACTTAAAATAAATAAATTAAAAAAAAATGTATTGAATGGTCAGAATGCAGGTGTGTTGTTGGTCTCGACTGCTCTGTGCCATCAGATCATTTCTTGAGGACGGTGGCCCATTTGGGGTATTGACCTTTAAGAAGGACAGTGACAGATGAAGATGTGTCCAGGTGGGTGTAACCTGGATGGACAGGGGTCTGGATATCATAGCGCCTGGAGAACACCTTGAGGCTCTAGGGTTGTTTTGATACAATGAAGAGAAGAATGAGCAGGACTGGATCGTTGCCTTCAAATATTTGGGGGGCTGTCATGGAGGGTGAGAGGAATCAGACTTTGCTGTGTGGCCTTCAAGGCCAGCGTGCAGCAGATGCAGAGGAGATTTCAGCTCAGTGTAAGAAAGAACGTGTAAATGTGAGAGTGATCTGGGGCAAATGGGGGCTACCTTGGGAGGTAGTGAGTACCCCATCACTAGAGGCATGGAAGTGAAGCCTAGATGACCATGTGCTGGGGCTGCTGTACAAGAGTATCAAGAATTAGATGTAGGATTGGATAATCTTTGACATGAAGTTCTGATGCCCAGAAAGACCTGGGAAGTGATCTAGTCTGTGGTCTGTGGCCTGGGGGCAAAGGGAGAATGATTTGATGATGGTCCTGGAAGCTGACAGGATTGGGAAGAGCGGGAGGCAAAGTTGAGGGAAGGGCCATGAGGGAGAGAGGCATAGCGGGCCAAGGGGAAGAGGCCAAAAGGAATCCTCACTCCCATTTCTCAGATGAGGTGACTGAGGCTCTGTAGGGTGGTGTCACTCGCTCCATTCCACTTTGCAGTCACCTCCAGCTAGGACTTGGCTATTTTCTGGTGCCACTCTTCTGCCCAGGCCTCAGGGCGGGGGGAGGGGGTGGTGGTGGTGGTAATAGGGTCTAGTCACAAAGGGCTTGCCCTCTAGAGCTCACGGGCTGGCGGGCAAAACCGACAAGCCTGAAGCCCCTCCAAAGGTGGTGCTGTGATGGGCAGTGACACCAGGCAGGGAGGGACTGATTTTGACCAAAAGGATCCAGGAAGGCTCCTCCTAGGAAGTGACCCTTTGTCAAGGGAAAAATATTTTACATTGCTTCTGTTTTTAAATTTAAAATAATTAAAATCACATGAAATTTAAAATTGAGTCCCTCGGTTGCACTAGCCACATTTCATGGTGTTCAGTAGCCTCCTGATGTTGCCCAGTGGCTACTGTATTGGGTAATGTGGCTTTAGTACAAGTGCTTGGCACATAACAGGTGCTCAGTAAGTGGACTGGATCAGTCATATGCCTGTAGAGCGTTCATAATTAGTAAGCAGGGGGAGTGGATAATCTCCTCAACCTGGAAGGTTTCTGTTTGGTATTTTGGGCTTCCACAGAAAGCTCTATTTGAATAAAGAGTTCTGTAGCAAAAACAAACAAGTTAGAACAACTGTTCAACTAGTGGATTGCCAAGGGCCCTTTCAGTCTAGAAATTCTAGGACTCTCCCCGGGACATTTTGCCTCTAAGATCAGCTTTGGGGGTATGGCCACTGTGTCCAAATCTCAGATGAGCTGTGTGTGGCTCAGGTGGCCGAGAAGGCCCTGGGGCCTCTGAGAGCAGAGCTGGGGCGGCTGCAAGGAAGCTCCAGGGAGGCAGAGTACAACTCAGTGCAAAGAACAGCTTTCAAACTAACAGCCAGGCGGGGCCAAGGATGGGAGCACTAGGTTGGAAAGGTAATGAGCTCCCTGTCATCAGATGTGTGAGCAGGGGCTAGACAAAGGTGAGGCAGGAGAGCCAAAGAAGGCCTTCTGGTTTGGACTCTGTGACTTTTGAGGCCAGTTCCAATCTGGGTAGCACTTGGTTCTCTGACTGCCTGTCTGAAAGTGGTTCTACTGCTTGTTTTCCCCTCCTGCCGCCTGACTTGGAGGCGGCCATCCACATGGACTTGACTGGGCAGAGGCCATACCACACAGGTTCCTCTCCCTGGCCTGCTCCTTGGCACAGGGCCCAGCGCCCAGAGATGCTCAGGAGGCCTGTGGATGCTACTGAGGGTCAGGGGGCTGTGCTGCCCAGGCAGGGGACACAGCCTCCTCTCCTACTTGGGCTAGCCTGAGAGCTTGCAGGGAGAAGTCTCTGGCATAGACCTCAGAAATCCCACTGGGCTAGGGGGACAGGGCCTGAAGCGGGCCCCCCCTCCCCGCCCCAAGAAGGCCCGTAGGAGGTGGTGGCAGGTCCGGACTCGGCCGGCAGCTGGAGCTGGGAAGAGTGGCCACGGGGGAAAGGGCAGCCCCACACCCTGTTTCTTCCTGGGCCTTTGATCTCTGATGGGGCCTCTGTCCACCATCCCTGGGCCCCCCATTCAGGTCTCTTCGACTTCCCCCTTCCCTTATCCCCCCGCCTGGAGTTTGAAAGGCCCTGAAGACACCAAGGTCAGCCGAGTGAGAATCCCTTTTCCTAGCTCAGAAAGCTGCCCAGTCCAGCACCAGTGTGGACTGTGGGGGCCTGAGCTGCTTTTTGGGGAGTAAAGGGCACATTGCAAGTGGAATTTCTGGCCTTCTGGACCCTGGACTGCTCTCTGCCTGAGAAGCACAGTGAAGGCATCTAAAACCCCTACGTGGCCTGTCCTTTCCAAGAGCTGCCAAGTCCAGCAAGACCCTCAAGGAGAGGTTTGGGAGCATTTAGCTGGACCTGTCATGACCAGGTCTACCCTCTTTCTGGGGGTGCCTGTCTCCTCTATGTCTTTGTGTCCCTCCCCATGTCTTTCATTTTGGAGGTGCATCTCATCCAGTGTTATCTGCCTCTGTTTATGTTAATAGACTTTTTCTGTATCTGCTTCTGTCTCCTGGTCTAGCGCTGTCTCTTTCTCCCCCGCCCACACACTCTGTGTCACACACTGTCTCTCTCTCTCTCTCTCTCACACACACACACACACACACGCCCTCTCTCTCACACACTCTCACAACACTCTCTTTGTCACAAAATCTCACACACATACACATACTGTCACACACAAACCCTCGCTCTCACACATACACACTCTCTTTGTCACACACTCTCATACACAAATACACTCCTCCCACACCACACACACTCTCTCTTTCTTTTTTTTTCTTTAAAGATTTTATTTATTTATTTGAGAGATAGAGAGAGAGCACGAGAGGGGAGAGGGTCAGAGGGAGAAGCAGACTCCCCGCTGAGCAGGGAGCCTGATGCGGGGCTCGATCCCGGGACTCCAGGATCATGACCTGAGCCGAAGGCAGTCGCCCAACCAACTGAGCCACCCAGGCGCCCACTCTCTCTCTCTTTCACAACACTCTGTCACACACTCTCATACACATACCTACTCTCACACACATACACACAACCTTTTACACGCTCACACACGTATACACCTCTCTCTCTCTTACTCCTCTTTCTTTCTCTCATACATACTCACTTTCTGTCTTCTTATATTCGCTCTTGCTCTC